TCATCAGGTGTGGGTAAGGGAGGCAGATATTCCAACGACGGCATTCCGGACCTTATATGGGCATTATGAGTTTAGAGTGCTGTCATTTGGGCTGACTAATGCTCCAGCGGTGTTTATGGATTTAATGAATCGAGTATTTAAAACATTCCTTGATATGTTTGTTATTGTATTTATAGACGATATTCTGGTCTATTCACGTTCAGAAGAGGAGCATGCGGACCATTTAAGGACGGTACTTAGGGTGCTTCAGCACCAGAAGTTGTATGCTAAATTTTCTAAGTGCGAGTTCTGGTTGACTTCAGTGGCATTCTTGGGGCATATTATTGGAGCTGATGGTATTTGGGTAGACATGCAGAAGATTGAGGCGGTAAAGACTTGTCCCAGACCTACGACACCTACTAAGGTACGCAGCTTTCTGGGGTTAGCAGGATATTACAGGAGATTCGTAGAAAAGTTTGCCTCAATTTCAGCGCCTTTGACAAGGCTAACTCAAAAGGCAGCCAAGTTCGAGTTGACTGATGCTTGTGAGTCAAGCTTCCAGCTATTGAAAGACAAATTGGCTACAGCTCCAATCCTAACTCTTCCGGAGGGACCAGAGGGCTATGTTAGTTATTGGGATGCTTTGGGTGTTGGGCTAGGATGTGTATTGATGCCGAACGGCAAAGTTATAGCCTATGCCTTCCGACAACTTAGGAACCATGAAAAGAACTATCCTACTAACGATCTGTAGCTAGCGGTCGTTGTTCATGCCTTGAAGATATGGAGACATTATTTATATGGTGTCCATGTGGACATCTATATAGATTATAAGAGTCTCCAATATATCTTTAAATAGAAGGAGCTAAACTTACGACAGAGGCAGTGGTTAGAGTTGCTAAAGGATTATGATATTGATTTTTTATATCATCCAGGGAAAGCGAATGTTGTAGCACATGCTCTTAGATGTAAGTCCATGGGTAGCTTGACAGATGTACAATAAGAAAGGAGGGACATGGTTCGGGAGATTCAGTGGCTATCCAACCTTGGAGTCCGTCTGGCTAATTCAGAGGATACTGGAGTTTCTATTCGAGAGGTTGCTGAGTCCTCAATCATAAATGAGGTAAAGAGACACCAATACAAGGACCCTATTCTTGCACAGTATAGAGATGCAACTCTTGACCCCATTTAAGGTTACACCTGACGAAGTGTTACGATATGAAGGCAGATTGTGTATACCCGATACTGCGGGGCTACGACAGCAGGTTATGGGAGAGGCACACTCTGCCCGTTATTCTATACACCCTGGGTCAACGAAAATGTATCATGACCTTAGATGCTTATATTGGTGGGATGGCATGAAAAAGGACATAGCGTAGTTTGTTGCTCAGTGCCCGAATTGTAAACAAGTCAAGATCGAACATCAAAAGCCTAGTGGATTATTACAGGAGATAGAGATCCCGACTTGGAAATGGGAGATGATTAATATGGACTTCATAACAGGCTTACCTCACACTCAACGAAAGTATGACTCGATATGGGTTATTGTAGATAGGCTGTCGAGATCGGCCCATTTTATTCCAGTGAGGACTACTTATTCGACTTAAGATTATGCGAGGTTATATGTCAGGGAGATAGTGAGACTTCATGGGGTTCCCACGTCCATTATATCAGATAGAGGAGCTCAATTTACAGCATACTTTTGGAGATTGTTTCAGAAGGGATTGGGGACACAGGTGAACCTTAGCACAACATTTCACCCTCAGACTGATGGGCAGGGTGAGCGTACTATTCAAACATTAGAAGATATGTTGCGGGCCTATATTATTGACTTCAAAAGTAACTGGGATGACCACTTGCCACTTATTGAGTTTTCCTATAATAATAGCTACCATTCTAGTATCCAGATGGCACCATACGAGGCCTTATATGGAAGGAAGTGCAGATCACCTATTGGTTGGTTTGATATTGGCGATACTAACTTAATAGGCCCGGATGTGATTCAGCAAGATGTTGACAAGGTGAAGCTTATTCAAGAAATATTATTAGCAGCCCAGAGTCGACAGAATTCATATGCAGATAATCGGCATCGAGATTTGGAGTTTCAGATTGGTGACTGGGTATTCCCGAAGGTATCACCCATGAGGGGTGTGATAAGATTCGGCAGGAAGGGGAAGCTCAGTCCGAGATACATTGGGCCTTATCAGATTGTTCGTAGGATAGGCAAGGTTGCCTATGAGTTTGATCTACCATCTGATTTGGAGCTGGTACATCCAGTCTTCCATGTATCGGTGCTATGTAAATGTATTGGTGATCCTTCTAGAGTATTACCCGTAGATGATGTTCAGGTAATAGAGGAGTTGTCATATGAGGAGAAACCCGTAGCTATACTTGATCGCCAGGTTAGAAGGTTACGTACTAAGGATGTGGCTTCTGTCAAAGTGTTGTGGAAAAATAATAATAGGGAGGAGATGACTTGGGAAGCGGAAGACGAAATGAAGAATAAGTATCCTTACTTGTTCTCCGTACCTGCAGGTAATTCGATTCCTAGCTTGACTATATTGATTGATAAACGAGATTATGTAGTAAGTTGTGACTCTGTGAGGCATCTGTAAGGTACGGAATGTAGGTTGATAGGTATAACTGTTAGAGAGACCTCACTGGAATTTGTTTTTGTAAGACGCTAACTTAACATTCGAGGACGAATGTTCCTAAGGGGGGAAGGATGTTATGCCTCGTATTTTTTATACGATGTGCGCATTATGATCCAGTAGATGTAAGTCCGGGGAATGAGATTTTATTTTAAGTTACAAGTGATTAAAGAAATATAAGGCAAGGATGTTAATTCCAAATGTGATATTAAGTATGATTTGACTAATGTAAGTGCCATTAACTTTAAGTGAGGGATTAATTAGTGGCTGATTAGGATAAATTTAATCCAGTGGGCCCCACCACTTATAATTAGTGGCTGATTAAGATTAATTTAATCCAGTGGGCCCCACCACTCAAGGCAAAAGTTAAAAAGGGATCAGATTGGGAGTTGGCCTTAGTGGACACGTCTAGAGGGGGCTGCCTCCACTTCATATTATAAATGAGGTGGAGAAATCCACTCCATAATAAATAAAGTGGGGAAATGCATTGCTGTATATCATCTTCTTCACCACTTTGCTTAGGCAGCCATGGAAATGGAGAAACCAACCCTGCAACTCTTGGCCAGCAGCTGCAAATAATTTGGTTAGTAATCTCCTTGCTTGATGTGTTAATTCTTTAGAATACCTTTTTAATTATCCATTAATATTAAGAAGGGGGCGTGACCAGTTGAATGTGTTAAGTATGAACGGAAACCATAATCAGATTATTAGTGGTGTCGTGTTGGTGCTTGGGCTGTTTTGATTAAAGCAAACGGCGGGAAAATTCTGTTTTGGCGTTATGTATATGTTAAATGTGATTATGAGTATATACTCCAAAGGATGAATATGATAAGGTAGATGTGTTGCGAATTATAATACGAGTTATGGCTCGGTATGTCGTTCTTCGCTGCTATGGTTGCTGAGATGGAACTGTTTTGGGGAGGGGGCTGTTTAATATGATTCATTGGGTTATATGTGTTATTGGTATTGCTGTGGATAATTTGGGTTGTGTCGGATTGGGACGAAGTAAGGAAAATAGGGGAAGTGCTGCCAGATTTTCGTTAGATTATTAGCTTGCTTACAAGATAGTAAAGTGCGACGTTTATCTAATTGCGGCACGATTGTTGCTTGTTATAGATTAATAGCTTGAGCAGTAAATATTGGACGTGCGGATCGACTATACGGTATGTAACGCTGTCCGTTCTTTCTTTGTTTGGCTTGACTTTTAAAAATAAGCGAATAACAGACAGGTTTGATACTTACCTCTAGAGCGTCTAGGTGACGTATATTATTGCTTCCACAATTATTCCTCTATATATCGTCTATGTCTAAGGCTATGATGATTTCTCATATCTATGGTAGTGCTTCTTAGAGTCATTGAGATTTTACGTTTCCATATCGTATTAAAGGTTCATAATTTTGATGAAACGTTAATCTTTGGTAATACTCCTTGCTGGTTCACGTTGATTGTTCTATTGAGTTATAAGGAATGATTTTAATTGCATATGGTTGCTCATAATGTTCTGCTCGTGCATAGAGTCATTTATCATTTCACCGAGTCCCGAGCCGGGTAATGTTCGTGCGGAGTTTCTTGTATATGTCACCGAGTCCCTCACTAGAGGGAAGGGTATGTATATTATATATATATATGATTGGTGATGAGAATGGTTATGATGATGATATTGACGGAGATGATGTGATAATTATTTTGTCGAGCCCCTTACTAGGGAAGTTGGGCACCTTATATGTTAAAGATATGCATGATTTTCACTTAAAAGGGTACATGTGTAGCGATATTTTGTTTCGACTTGCCATATTGGTATCTTGTCATCTTTACCTTATGCTTTACATACTCAGTACATTGTCTGTACTGACCCCCCTTTCCTCGGGGGGCTGCGTTTTATGCCCGCAGGTGTAGACGCACAGTTCGGTGATCCTACCGCCTAGGATATCTACTCTGCTGATTGGGAGAGCTCCGCTATTCCGGAGCCCAGTCATTTTGGTACATAACTTTTGTGTAGTCTTTTGCTCGTCTATGGGTATGGCGGGGCCCTGTCGTGTCGAGTTTCACTACTGTACTTTTAGAGGTCTGTGGACATTATGTGGGTTGTATATATATGTTTTGGATAATGGTCTGGACATGGTTTGTTTGGGATGTTCGCTTGTATAGGGGCAGCCTTGTCGGCTGCATACATCATTGTGTATTGTGTAGTGGCAGCCTTGTCGGCTTACGTATGTTATTATGCTTTGGATTGTGGTGGCCTTGTCGGCTCGCGTATGTTGTTACGGTTGAATGGTTATGACTCCTTATGAGACAGGTCCTCTTTATATATGACGTTGGGGTTGGCTTGATTTGATTAAATTCCATATTTTGTTAGTTTCAGTTTGTTATACTTAGCAGGTTTGTATGTGGGTGTCCAAAATGGGCACTAGTCACGACCCATCGGGTTGGGTCGTGACAATGAATTGGAGAAATTCATCACTCATACACTTCCCATACTATTAAATCGACAATGCTTTTTTAATTAATATTGAAGGGAAAAGGCCTTCGTGGCATCATCACCATGGAGGACTAAACTTACTGTCCTAGAAAAGGACCTTCTAGCTAGTCGCTTTTGTTTGAGAAAAGACCATGAATTGGGTGGAACACTATGAGAAGGATTCGAAAGCTGCAATGGCTGGACTATTGAACATGATGTTTGAGGTAATTTGGTAAGGTCCCTTCTTAAGTGTTCTTTGTCAATGAGAAATTATGTTGGTGTTGTTCCGCCATACTACTCCGGGATACTGAATTCTTTGAATGCTCGTCAGGACGTGTTTGAAAGTTCTATGTGTTATATGATGAGGAATTATCCACAACTTATGCACAAATTTATGTCTAATAAAGCAAAAATTCCCTATCTTCTTAAACTAATTGTTTATATGAACCTAAACCTCTATTCTATTAAAAGACAAGATTAGGTGCGTTTGTGAAACGTAATACGATCATGAACTATATATGGGATTACTAATGTGAAGTATCTTTTTAACTGGTAACTCAAAGCTGTTTTCTTTTGCTTTTCCAGATTTTTAAATGTTTTGTCTTTCTGATAAACGAGGCATCTTTTAATCATGGTGAAAGGGAAGCTCTGAGATCTTGTATAAAAGCTTTGAATTTCTGGGCTACTGAGATTTGGTGAAAGTTACAAGACTTCACCCTGAACATATTGAAAAGGATTATAGATGAGCTCATTATCAATGTATGATTGTTCCAAAAAAGGGCATTAGTGCAATATGGAGAACTGTAGTATTTAAGATGGACACTTTCATCAAATGCTCCCTTTGATGTCTGCCTAGTCTTCCTTCAGGTGTATTTGTGGAACTTATTACGATTATGAACTGTATAAGGAATTGTTAATATGAAATAATTTTTGAACTAGTAACTAAACCTATTTTCTTTTGCTTTGTAGGATTTTAAATCTTCTGTCCTTCCGGTTAAAGAGGCATTTATTTAGAATGGTGAGAAGGAATCTCTAGAATCTTGTGTAAAGCATTGAACTTCTGTGCTTCTGAGAGTCGTGGGGAGTTGCAGCTTGGTTCACTCATCTCCTGATAGTGCCTTGTATGTTCTCTTTTCGTTAATTGAGTATTTTTTTCTTGGTCTAGGTTGTGTTCTTTTTTGAGAACATTGGCTAACAGGAAAGCAACCCTTGTATCATCCACAGAGCTAGAAGCTTTGGGGTACTCATCAGATATATGCAACGAAAGCAGCTTCCAGACTTGGTAAACTGATGATGGATGCCCTTATTTTCATGCATATGGAATTGAGAAGATCATATGGACCTGCAGAGTGGTTGCCTTCAATGGATCTAACGGGATAAGCTTGAACTAGGCAGTTGAAGGACATAGCTTGGTGGATGGCTGTCATACGGGTAACACTTCTTTAATTCATTTAATAAAAGGATCTAATTTTGTCAAAATTCTTGTGATTAATCAATTAGTTTGTTCTAACTTACGAGAACTACTATACTACTTCCACTTATGTTTTAAAATGCTATTTGTGCTTAGATGTAAATGTTCTAGGTGATAAAACCTCAAAGAAATAACGTACTTTAAAAAACGAGGAACACATGATGTAGGGATGTCAAAACTTTTCCCACCAATACAAGCACATACCCTTTTAATCCTAAATTTGATCTACAAGTTTCAGTCTGTCACAGTCTTCAATTAGGATATGCTGCAAATGATTTGTCATCTGAGTAGAGTGGACATTACATTTCAACATGAAAATAGTATGTAATTTTGGTTAGAGTAGTATCTCCCTTAGACTTTTAGTGAGCCTAGTCTTCCAATGGCTCAAGTTTGGTTGGAAGACATTAGAGTTTTCTAACTGGTATCTTGTCAGGGCATCTGAATTTCTTAATATTTGTAGCTATGGCTTGGCAAAAAGAAGTGAAAGCCCTATGACATAATCTGAGCCTCTTGCTTTATTTCTCCATTACCAAAACTAACAGGGCTCTTCTGTCCTTTTCCTTTCTTTCACTTTAGAAAACAAATAGAGCATTAGCATCAGCAATAACAGTAGTAGTTGGACCTCATTGTGAGTGATGCTTAAAGTTCCTTGCCACAATTACTAGGCCATCCCCATAAGAACTCAATTTTGAACATTTAATATGAAGAGGTAGAGCAAGACTTAAACTGATTTATTGCATGATAGCCTGCATTGAATCTCCTTTTGTTTCATTAACTCAAATAGAGAGCATATGAAGTATATTTTTTTTATTTTGTGACAGAATCTGTTAAATAATTTGAATAATTTTCAGTGATTTTCAGAGCTATTGCATCACTTTTAATTTAAAGTTATGTGTATCTCTGCATCCCCAATCTTAGTTTAGCGTGTTAATGTCATTAAAACATTTGTCTGCTCTAGCCTCTCCTTGCTCAGCCTCTCAAACTTATATCTGCAATAAAAGAAGTTGATGTAGCACCTTAATAAATTGAACTGATGCATTTTTTTTAAATGTGTAATCTTTCTTTTTGTAGGATGGTGATGTTTGAATATTCACTGCTTGTAAACTTGAAAATGTTGGATGATCTTCAATTATTGAGGCAAATTTCCATCAAAAGCTTGCATAATAATCTTGCACAGACTGCCTCCTAGGCTTAGCTCGAGTGGAAGAAGGTTGTGTCGCAGGTTTGAGCCCCACACCATGCAAAGTGAAGCCCGGAGGCGGGCCTATTATCCACTGAGTTTAGAAGGCTATGATTGGTCCAAAGAGCGGGTCACATGCGGATTTCTCGGTTATAAAAAAAGAATCTTGCAGAAACTTTCAAGAGCTCTTGAAGTTTTCATGACTGGGTGGGTATACTGTAGTTTGAAAAATTCATTTTTCTGTAGTTTTTCCAATACTTAACATCTTTGGCTAGTAGTTTAGGTTATTGGATTTCTTCTTCTTCACACGCATCTGCATGTTTGTAGTGATAGCTCGCCAATAGGGATGGTACTGTTTTCTTGAATGACGGTCTCTTGGAGATGAAGTGAATTCTCCAAATTCCTTAGCACCTCACCCGTAGATGGAATGTGCACCAGATTCAGCTGAGTATTTAAGTGCGTTTCTCCAAACTTGCTAAAGGAATCTGGTCTTATATTGCCCAGAAAGTCGGGATCTATGATATGTTCCATCTATCTCTTCTATTGCAAATTCATTGCCCAGTCACCTAAGTTGACCTTCTCCCTTGGAAGAGATCGATCTCGGGAAGACCTAGCACAAAGAAATTCACATTAAATGGTCACCAATGGAGAAAGAAGAAGGATGGTGAAACTTTTTAAGAACTGTGAAAGACACTCACCAAAAGGTGAAGGTATGCTCTATTGTCCTTAAGCTCACATGCTCTTATCATGTCTTGTCATTTTAAAAGACAAATATTTACCCTTTCTGGTCAATTAGTATCTATTGGTTGAGTTGTTTATGTTTTACTGATTGCTATTTTAAAGATCTGTAGTAAAAAATTTGAGGTAGCCTGGATGTTTTTGTTTGTTTGATAAGAGTCTTTTTTCATGATTTTTTCCCTCAATTTTAACAGTTAGTCAAGGATAGAGTTATCTGAAATATTCATTTTTTTTATAAAGAGTAAGTTATTTACAGTTGTTTGAAACATTCATCTGTAGTTCGTTTCTAAATTTTCCTAAATTAAGATTAAAATAGAAAGGAAGAAGAATGCTACCCTTTACATTTGGGAACATTTATTTTTATTGGGATTTGTGTGGAAGAAGACCAGCAGATATCCTAAAGTCTTTCTTCTGTTACAACCCCTAGTGGATTTTTATTTTGAAATTGAGGATTTTTCCATTTAATCTCTCTTTATAATGTATTTTTGTAGCTTAACTTATTAGATGTTGAGGCAGTTCCCAATGTTAGGTGTATTCTGTTTTCAACTAAGAGAATATAGGAACTTCAACTAAGAAAAAATTAGGATAAGAAGAATTGCATAAGTAAAGATGTTGCTACAAGGGATCTACGAAGGAAGTGTTTGTATTAGGAGCTTTTTCAATAGGTTTCTTTTGTGTATTTGTTAAATTAGGCCTGGGGTCTTCCATTTCCAAATATTGTGGATCTGGCATTTGCATTTTCACATTGGTCTCAACCATGCTCTAGTACTAATCTTGCAACAGTATTAGAGTATTGGTGCAAACAAATCGGTCCTTAACTTGCTAATCGTTCATGAATCTAGTTTTTTCAAGATCTAAAAATACATCAATATGGTGGAATGGTCAAATAAGCTGGCTTGCCTTCTCCGTTTGATGTCTCTTTTCTACCAGTACATCCAAGGTATATGGGAAGGGCATTCATGTAGCATTTTGATCGCTTAGGGAGCAACATACATAGCCACAAAAAGCCTTATCTTATTATTCCATAAGAAATACTCAATCCTCTTTTACAAGTCACTTTAGTTGTGCCTTCGCAGTCCCAAAAAGAAGTCACTTCAAATAATCATGTTCATTGAAGGTGACTCACTTCCTATTCAAGGAATGAACCATCCATCAGAAGCTATACTAGTCAGTTTAGTTTTTTTTTGTTGTGCTTGCTTGCTTGAATTCCTCTTTACTTGATTCTAATTAGATTTTCCCTGTTGAATCCTTTTTGTGTATATATATCTATTGAGATGATTTACACATGCTGATGATAGGATGGATGTTCATTCCTATATTTGCAGATGTTTTTGAAAGTCTTGGAGCACCTTTGAATGTTGCTAAACCCACAAAAGATTCAAGTGTGGCTATTTTTTGACTCGGAGCTGTAGGCCTTATTGTGAATATTCTTCACATCGCAAAAAACCTTCTTGTTCTGTTTTGTTTTTTAATCCATATATATGTTAATCTTACTAATAATGATCTAATCTCTTTTGTTCAGGCTGCAGACGGAGCAAAAATTGCTACCGCTTCAAGGATAATTTGTGTCGATTTAAATGCTAGATGATTTCAGTAAGGTAATTAACTTGTGTCTTACACATTCTCGATCCATTATCTTATATAGCAAAGCAACTAATTCATCCATTTTACTTTTATTTTACAGCTAAGAAATTTTGCGTGAAAAAGTTTGTGAACCCGAAGGATTAAAGTAAACCAGGTCAAGAGGTACTAATATCTGCTTCTCCTAATGGATCATTTTGCGAAAGAAGAAAAAGACAAATGCGAGACATAGTGGATCATCTTTTCTTGAATTTTGATTAATTGATTAGGTAACTGATGAGATGACTGATTTTGCAAATTCGATCTGAGTGTGAAGTGTACTGGCCATATTGATGTATGTTTTCTATCATGAAATTTCCTTAATTGTACATTATTATTTTTATAATAATCTTAACGAACATTGTCGTTATTAATTTTTAGTTCTAGTAGTGGCTGTTCTTATTGGTATGTACCCCATAAAAAAGCTGTGTTCAGGACACACTTTTGAACTTTTTAATGAAAGTACTATCAAAGTAACCTTTTTTTGGAAACATGACACCTCGTTCGGATATTCCTTCTTTTTTTTGAGAAATACATGAATAAGGAACTTGAATTGGAGAAATTCATCACTCATACACTTCCCATACTATGAAATCGAAAGGCTTTTTGAATTAATGTTTAAGGGAGAATGCCTTCGTTGCATCATTATCATGGAGTGCTAAACTTACTATCCTAGAAAAGGAGCTTCTAGCTAGCCTTTCTTCAGGTGCATTTGTGGAACTTATTATGATTATGAACTGTATAAGAAATTGCCAATATGAAATAATTTTTGAACTAGTAACTAAAAGCTATTTTATTTTGCTTTCCAGGATTTTAAATCTTCTGTCCTTCTAGTTAAAGGGTGAAGGAGGGAGGGCAAGGTTAGGTAGGAGGGAAGGGGATTAGGGTGGGGAAGGGGTAAGGGTTTTTGTGGGAAGGGGTAAGGGTGGGGTGGGTGGGGGAAAGGGGTACGGAAGAGTGGGTGGGGAAGGGGTAAGGAAGGGGTTGGAGGTGGGAGAAGAGAGAAAGAAAGGGGGTGGAACAGAAGGGGAGGGGGTATGGAAGAGGGGGGGTGCTTGGGGAAAGGGGCAAGGAATGGTTGGTAGGGAAGGGGTAGGGA